GCATTCATACGATTACCTATGCTAAAATCTACCTTAGTTAATTCTCATCTTTCAGAACGAAAGGGGACTTGGTTACACTGTGTAATGCTACATTCTTTTGTTGTGGGTTTTTTGTTCAGCTGAAGGATACACAGTGGGACAAGAGGAAATCATCATGCTGGAAATTAAACCAACATCACACACTGGTGTTCTGTTGTCTTCGTCAAGTGCCAAAGGAGACTACATCGTGTTAGAGATGATTCGTGGCAATGTAAGTATATAAGCATGTTAATTGTGTGTCCTTTTGTCTTCTATGAATTATTTCTGCTCCGGGTAGATGAAGAGCTGTTTTTACATGAGCTGTTTGTTTATAAGCCAGCAGTTAAAGCTAACGAGCAAATCCCTGCTTCAGATCTTCTTCCGTGCGGAGAATGGTGGAGGTCAGTTAGTGGTGGAATATACTGCTGATAACCCACTGGAGCTGTGCGATGGACAGTGGCACACAATTAAAGCAACTAAAGATAAGACTGTGGTCCAACTGCAAGTTGATGGTGGCCCCATACAGACAGGAGGTGGCAAAGGCTCTCAGAAGGACGCTAATATCTACGATCCTCTTTATGTTGGAGGGCTTCCAGGTCAGGACTCTGAAGATTTATTGTTCAATGGCTCTGTTTCATTCCTCTTTATCGATATTAAAATGAGAACTATCTGTTCAGTGAACTTGTAGCTTTCCGATTGGTTCTCTTCTTATNACTGTGGTCCAACTGCAAGTTGATGGTGGCCCCATACGGATAGGAGGTGGCAAAGGCTCTCAGAAGGACGCTAATATCTACGATCCTCTTTATGTTGGAGGGCTTCCAGGTCAGGACTCTAAAGATTTGTTGTTCAATGTCTCTGTTTCATTCCTCTTTATCGATATTAAAATGAGAACTATCTGTTTACTGAGCTTGTAGCTTTCCGATTGGTTCTCTTCTTATCTGTTATCGGCGCGTAGCAGACATTCTACCATATTTGCTAAATTGCCTTGGAACTAACATCATGGAATATAAGGAGTCTGATTATAAACTCAGCGGAAAAGAACTCACTGGAACATGCGGAAAACCACACAATTCGTTCAGAAAACAGAAAACAGATTTTCGTCATAAAATTAGGCCTGGTTATTCAATGTAGTTTGTTTCCGAACACGTGGGTCGTATTGATCGATTCTGAGCTCTGATTCGTTTTAAGGCAGTTATTTTTGTTGTTGTGATGATTACAGCTGCAGATGTAAACAAGTAAGCCGAAAGTACAATCGAACCTTTCTTATACGGACACCGAAGGGACAGAGCGAAGTGTCCGTATTAGAGAGGTGTCCGTATTGGAGAGGTCACTATGGTGACGTCACTTTTAAGTCTCTACTGACAGTTTAGAGTGTTCAGTAACTAAAATCAGGCCCAAAAGTGAGTGTCTTGTGAATTTCTGAATCTAAATTGATTTACTATATTGTGCTTTTCAGTTACATGCTGTACATTCGAATTTTGGAACAAAGCGAAATACTGCACCTAGAAGCTTACTACACTGTATTATAAAAGTACAATTCTAATAACCGCGCACAAGAATTGGTGCATACCGCAAATTATCGAATGGTCCCCGGAGTGTCCGTAATAAAGAAGTTAAATTTGTATGAATTTGCTCCCTAGGGCCGACATTTAGTGTCCGTTTTCCGTTTTAGAGAGAGTCCTTATTATAGAGTTCTTTTAGGGGAAATGTATGAGAATTAGGAAACTGTCCGTATTAGAGAGGTGTTCGTATGGAGAGGTTCGACTGTAAACTCTTGCTTCTTTTCACTTGCGCAAGGAATATAATTTTCAGCAACGTAATAACTTTGGATCTTCCTATAAACCTTTATCGTTTATCGCAATTTTCTAGAATATAGACGACTTTAGAGGACGTCGTGCAAGGAATATTTCGCATGAACATTTTATGTCGTTGGCTTTCCTAGCATGTTTCATTCAACGCCCAAATTGGACACCGTGCCACAGATTTTTCTGCCGGTTCAGTCAGGTCATCACTTCGTTTAGATCAAGGTGAAACGCCCTGATCATCCAGTTTTTGGTAATTAAGTAAGTAAGTAAGCGAAACAATAACTGGGTGTTCAGGGAAATAGAGTAAGATGCTCGTGACCGGGGCGTCAAATCCCTTTCTACCGCGGCGAAGGCCAAGATAATTAGAGATTTTGTCCTGCAGGCGGAAGAATTTTACAGCCTGTGACAGACCAGTAGATCATTTGTGTTACTCGGGTTGGTTGGTGAGGTTTCCTGTTTTTAGATTACATACAACTTATTAATTTTTGCTTGCTGTTATCCATTCTTCCTCAGAGGGTGAGGTCGGCAAGGGCGTGACAGCCTCTGAACCGTTCACAGGGTGTATACGTAATTTGCAGTCCATGGACCCAGGAGGGAAATCGAAAAGTCTGTATCTGACTAAGCCTATTGACATGGCTGGCAATGTGTACCTTGGAGGATGCCCTTACAACTGAACGAGAGTGTACTTGCTTCATTTAAGTCTCAATTTCTTGAACTATATTTTGAATACAGACTTTGTGA